AAGTGCTTGGGCATTTTTTCCAGTAAAATGATTAAAGTCTTTGCTTACAATCTTTTTTTCACACGAAAAAAGAGAATTTTGTGAGAACTGTGAACATTCTATAATAGTATAGAATGTCTTAATAATTTATTTATTCATTCATATTCTGTCGTGTTCCTGTTATCCCAGTGAATGGTACACGTTAAGTAAAATGTGACGGAATGGATCTCTGGTTATTTGCAGGTACATCGACAATGAGAAAAGCAAAGTGATGCTGGACATCATTTCCAATAAATTGTACAAGGAGCAGTTTGACGCCATTCAGCACTGCTTCCGAATCATTGGGTTCACGGAGGAGGTGAGAAATTGATTTTCTGTGATCTCAGCTGATTACCGTAGCTTTTCGTGTATGTTTTACATTATTTCAGAGACAGCACCAATAACGCGTGATGAGATGTATTAGATTGCTAAACTGTATATTTGTTTTAGTACAGCCTTGGCTACTGCTAATCGAATTTGTTAGATTGTTATCTTATAAATTCAGGTTATATTGTGCTTTTCTGGTAGGTAATTTTACATACCAAAGTAATATGTTTTGGTAGTCTACTTGATTTCCTGTTTGGGAAGATATAGTGTAAGAGGGTATAATTATTTTTACAGACTCTGTAACTGAAACCTGAACTGTATCTACTAAGCATTTTAATAGTCTACTATTAATGAGATTAAATTGTAACTAGCAGTGTATTCTTCCCTTGGAAGAAATTCCAGAAACTGACTAAATTCCAGATGTGGTGAAAGCTAGGAAAAATTATCCGGTTTCTTTAAAATCTGTAATCTAGAAATCTTTTTATAAGTCTACATCCTCGGTTTAACAGCAAGAGTAGTATATTGTTATTGGAGGTGTGTGTTAGTTGAACACTTAATATTCCGCTCCTGTCCTGTTTTGTTTCAAGCTTCAGTGATCTTTTTTTGTTTTACAGGAAGTAAATTCAGTGTATAAAATCCTTTCTGCCATCTTGAATACTGGAAATATTGAATTTGCTGCCATTACATCTCAACACCAGACTGATAAAAGTGAAGTGCCTAATTCTGAAGCCTTAAACAATGGTAATGATGTTGATCCAGTTTGCTGGAATGAATGGAAAGACAAATTGCTGTGAATGAGTTTGAAACGCAGTTGATGTATTAATCAGAACACGTAATAGAAATTATTTCAATGGAAACAAAGCAGTTGACCTTTGCTGCATATGTGGATACAGTATTTGTTCTTGTAGGAGTTAAAAATGAGTGGAAGTGTAGGAAGTGTAGAATGACTGGAGAAAACAATGCCTTATGTTTGTATCACACAGATAGTGTTATTGGATTGAAACACTCAAAAATATGCTGATGTGACTAAACCCAGGACTTGTGTTTTCATCTATGGTTAGGTACCATGAGATGTAATGACTGGGATTGCATCTTAAAATGTGTGTTCCACTCCTAATGCTGTATGTCTACTCGGATAGTCATATTGAGGGTGTTTAAATGCCACATTCACAGACACACAAGTCGGAGTCACGCACCAATAAGTGCTGAAAGCTCTAAGACTGAAGTCCGGTCCTTTTCCTTGGGTAGGAATGCTCTTGAGAGACCTGGGGACTGTCGTCACTGTAACAGTCTTGCAATCTGTCCAACACTTCCCCGGGTGTCTGCTACTCTTCCAGCTGCTGCCCTTCTCAGTATTGGTGCTGAGGAGCTTCAGGAGGCCCTGACCTCCCACTGTGTGGTGACCAGGGGGGAGACCATCATCCGCACAAACACGGTGGACAGGGCGACTGACGTGAGAGACGCCATGTCCAAAGCTCTTTACGGCCGCCTCTTCAGCTGGATTGTGAACCGCATAAACACACTGCTGCAGCCGGACAAAAATTTATGGTCAGCATCACCTGGTTTTCCTCATATCGTTCAAGTTGTGAGCATTTACTTCTTTCCCGCTGTTCTGCTCTGTGAAAAATCAGGAGAGCGCGTGCTTTTTTTGGGGGGGGATGATTTTGTTTGCGTCGTTAAATCACAGAAGAACACTTGGACGACCTAAGTATAGAAAACGCCATCGTGCAGAAAGGCCGCACTGTCCGTGATTAGGAATGATTTGAAAGCTGTCAGACAAAGTCATTTTCAGACATTTGTAAGTCAGATTTAATTTAGTTTATTCCCACAGTGCCGGAATGAATCACTGTTAAATCATATCTCTCTGCTACAATTATGAAAACAAAACGGAGGGCAGAACACTCAGATATGTCCTATTATATAAGCATGTCTTTTAATATTCTTTTCAGTGAGTGTATACCTGGGACAAAGCTGAGTTACTGCAGTTGGGAGACCAGAGCTCAAAGCTGTTGATCTCTATCTGGGCCTATCTCTGACCTGCTGAGGAGGGACAGAGATGTCACACTGAGATGTCACCATTTGATATTTTTTCCCTAAATCTTGGAAAAGCAGAATCCAATAAGTCAGCATCTGAGCAGAGCTGGGGCTCTATAACAAATGCCCTTTTCTTACCGTGAGATACTCTTGGTTTTATCCGCAATTTTACATGATAACAATTGCAAAATAAATGCAGCTCCTCTCAGATTTAGACTGTATAAATGCATAGACAATCTGCTTTATCTTAACGGCTTTTGCTCTCTTCTGCTGAACTCGAGAGAGAGATTTAATGGATAGAATCGAACCCGAAAGATAAAATACTAAAAATGAATTTTTAATGGTGAGTGTGGCGCAGAAAAAAAAATAATGTTCTGATGATTAAAAAGACTTCAGAGAGATCATAAAGAGCTGATCATTGATCCAGAAGAATAAAATCACAGTAGTGGGGTTAGAGTGTCAGTAGTTTTAGGGAGTCATCCATTATGTTTGAGGTATTATTGGGTGAAGCTTGGCCGTTTCCAATCCAATCATCTGTATTTTCACTGTTATCACCAATAATAATGTGTGGAGTTAGGCAGAAGGTGACCTCTAATAAGAGCCAGTGAAGCTGTGAGTCAGAATGCGGTTATAGATACGAATATTTCTGTATTCTAGACTCAAACCATTCTTCTTTAGAAGAGCCCTTACTTAACTGGTTCTGTTCTTTAACCCTCCTGCTGTACTCAGTACCCCCATCTACTGTCTCCTCCCATTGTGTATTTTCATTGTTCATATCTTGTGTATTTTTTTTATTGTTGTTGTTGTTGTTCTGTAAAGCACTTTGAGAAGCCAGCCATGAAGGTATAAGTTTATTATTATTATCTGTTACAAAATGGACAGTATCATAGGCCCTGTGAACTGGAAGTTTACAGAGACTGAGGAGAAATACATGAAGAGTGCCAGTAAGCCCTCTTTTTGGCCTAAAACTCAGGTGCTGGATATTTTAGTGACTGTTTAATTTTAGTATGATGTAGCCCTTCAGAATGAGCAATAGTTAACCCTCAAATGCAATCTCTGCACTCTGTGAATCCATAGACAACAACAACTGCTGCCTCTACTCAACAAAAGCTTTAATAAGCATTTCCTTTTCCCTTTTATCCCTTTGCATTCTGATCCTGAAGTCAGCTAAATGTATTTAGCAACATAAATGATACTAGTGAGGAACTTATTTGAAAGGCGCACATAGCTGCCCTTGTTCTGTTGTAGCTTTTAATGCCTTTTCTGTTGTGCATATAGCTGTGACCTGAATACATATGCTTTTGCATTGGTTTTGCACTGAGAAATAAAAATAATGTTTGCTTTATCTCTTACAAGTACTGCAGAAAATGGAATGAATGTTGGAATATTGGACATTTTTGGCTTTGAGAATTTTAAGAAAAACTCTTTTGAGCAACTGTGCATCAACATTGCCAATGAACAGATCCAGTTCTACTTCAATCAGCACATCTTTGCTCTTGAACAGGTGAGTGTGTTGTGTTGTGTTGTCCTAGTCTCTTCTTACTATCCTTTAAATCAGCAAAGTAGTTTCACAAACATGAAAGACACCTCTGTTATATCTGCTTGTCCCTTCCACTCAATTTCTTAACGATGTTCTGTTGTTTCTCAATGAACCCCTACATTCTACGTGTTGTTGTGGTTTGTTAGTTTGCAATGAAGGTTATTTGGTACAAATAATTCTGTTTTTCTATATTAAATGTGAGGAAACAAGGTATCTCTGTTAGAGTATGTAATGTGTATTTGTGATTGTTGTTGAGACTCCTGGATGCTGTGCTTCAAAAAGGGGGCTAGAAAATGTAATAATGTTCATGTCATTACCTCTCTTCAATCAAACTCTTCAGAACATTTTATCTGTAATGGTTATTTAGAATGATAACAACAGATAACATTCCTGGGAAAAGAAAGTTATGTGGGTACACAGTAACAAATATGCAAGGAATATCAAATGTAATATAGGCAAATGCAAGACACATTGAATTCTTTACAAAGGTATTTTACAAATAATTAGTATAAACCAATGCTTTTTCAACCTGATTGTAAGTTAGATTGAAATTAAGTAGTGTCAGCCAATGCCGTTTTAACCAGGATTCATGAAGAGAAATACAAGTCAAATACTAAAATTCATTGTGCTAGCAAAGAGGAGTCATGTCTGTGTTTCTAAATTAATGTTTAATTTTTGTATTCTTATCAACCACCCAGATGATCTAGGATTCATCAGTTACAATATCCAACACACATAAATGGGTACATTTTATCTTCCTGTTTAAGATTGATTGCAGGAGACACAAAGTAATTGCCCAATCTTTGGTTTTAGCCACAGACAAGTTAATATAGTTGTTAAGAAACAAATTGCTAATTGTCCTGTCTATTGTAGATACATGCATTGTTTAAGATTAATATCTTACTTCTACTGTACATACGTTTTTTATGTTTGAAGAATTATTTGCATGAGCATTTTCTTCAGTTTTTCAATGAAGGTGTCTAGATATCTGTTATAGGTACAGTACTCACAGCGCACATAAACACTGTCAATAACTTCTGCAGTTGTGATTTTAAGTTTGATCTAGCCATCTTCAGTCTGCTTGTCCTGGTGAGGGTTCCGGCATTGAGAGATGCTCTTGATGATGACATCAGAGATGCTCTTGATTTTTTTAAAAACAGTCCAGGAAGAACCTGTCACAAACCGCAGTCCTATGGACACCTCCCACCACCAAAACACCCGCGCACTAATGAATCAATTGTCTTTCCTCTTGCTTTTCCCTATTTATACCCTCGCACTCTTCTCAGTCCCCGCTCACTATTGAGACGTTCTTCGGCTTTCTCTGGTGCGCCCTACTGCTCTCGACCTGATTTTTGACTACTCGACCTAGTTTCCTCCTGCTTCAACCTCGCCTCACTTCTCGTCTCTGATCTGGATTCACTCCACCTGACTCTTTTGGCTACCCGACCTAGTTCTCTTGTTTCGACTTTTGACTTTTACCTTTCTGTAACAACAAAGGTTGTGTAAGAAAGGTGTTGCGAGCAACAGTTACTCAACTCTAATTAATACAAAATAAAAGTTTGATTTAAGCATGAAACTGCTTTCGATGAGTTGAGTCCTTCTTATCAGAAATGTATAAAATATCTAAATTCATCAGATAAATTAATAAAATGGGACAATGAATTATTTGCAAATGACTAAAAATTTTACTCTAAATGACCAAAAGTAGTTTGGAATAATCTCTTCAACAGTACCAATGATTAAAAAGGCGAGTTAAATGAAACTGTTTAATGACTTGGCATGCATTGTATTTAATTAAAATTCCCATTTCACTGACACAAATATCATTTTAGAAAATACAGCCAAACCCCAACAATGCAATTACAATAAAAGATTGTATTTATTGAGGCATTTTGGTTAACTGAGTTTGGCTTGAGAGACAAAAAAGGCATGGGCCTATGTTTAACATAGTCAAAAGGTTCTGAAAGAGTGAACTAAGCAAACCACAAAATAAACCAAAGCAGACTATGAATATAAAGATCACAAAAGACACATAAATAAATTACATCAATAAATTAAGAGCATCAGCTCTTGATTATACAAGGTCTTGTATATGCTTGTATATACTTGATCTTGAAGTACAAGAGAAAAATAACATCCATTATTTACAGACAAACCCAGTAATAAGTATGTATGTCAATACTGTATGTATACCACTCTGAACACTAGACTTCGTCTCGAATTGTTGTTGCACTCCAAATAACTCTAGTCCGCTTGCTAAAACTGTTTAGTTAATCTTTTTAATCATGCATGTTTTTAGATGGAATACCAAAGTGAAGGTATTGATGCCAACCTGGTGGAGTATGAAGACAATCGGCCCATCCTTGATATGTTTCTTCAGAAACCCATGGGGCTGCTGTCTTTACTGGATGAAGAGAGCCGCTTTCCTCAGGCCACTGATCAAACATTAGTGGGTAAGGGCTCTATTTTTTTTTGAATGGTGACTTTAGGTAAATACTGTACCAATTTACTTCACCGTTCTCGTCAAGTGATTACTTAGAGAGACCAAAACACAAAAGGGCAGCTCCAATTACAGCAACAGATAGATTATTTGTGTGTTGGCTTATGATTTACCATAGCCATATTTAAAATCAATGGAATATGTTTTAAAATCATTAATTCATATTAATGGGCAAAACCTGGATTCTGTTTTTTTTCTCTTAGATAAATTTGAGGACAATCTGCGATACAAGTACTTTTGGAGACCTAAACGGCTTGAACTTTGTTTCGGAATTCAGCATTATGCTGGAAAGGTAACGTTCACAAACGTACTGTTTTCTCACAGTCATTGTATCTTCCGTCTGTGTCAGGCCGAGCTGTGTTTATTTGTTTACTCCTATCAGTGTGGGCAACTCTGTCTAAACCACTTACCCATTTCACAAGCCACAGCATGTCAAGGGACCAGGGTCCCCTCGATTATGGGTAGAGGGCATCATGGGATTGACCAGTAGATTGGTCCAGTGGCTGCAGTAATATGGGCGCCATGTAGAACTATGGGGGTGAAGCAGGAGCTGCGTTTTTGTATAAAGGTCTTATACAAGACCTACTATGTTCCTTTCCTCATCTATGGTGATGAGCTTTGAGTAGTGACCAAAAGAAAGAGATACCAGGCACACAGGCACCAGCACAGGCCCACTGGGAAGAGACCCCAGAGCAGAGGCAGGACACGCTGGAGGGGTTTCATCTCTCGGCTGGCCTGGGAGCTCCTGGGAATCCTGGAGCTGGAGACATTCTGGGAAAAGGGAAGTCTGGTCTGCTCAGCCTGTTACTGCCACGACCCTGACCAGGAGTCAGCGGTTAGAAAATTAGATGATAAGCAGTCCTGCTGTATTGCCTTTTAAGTTTTTTTTTATTCGGATTTAAAGATTCTGGACTCTTTCTGTGATGGTTTGCAGGTTTTGTACGATGCAAATGGATTCCTGGAAAAGAACAGAGACACTCTTCCTGCAGACATCATGGTGGTTTTGAGAACTTCAGAGAACAAACTGTTGCAGCAGCTGTTTTCAAGCCCCTTGACAAAAACGGGTAGGTAAACAGGTTTACGTGATGTTATTGTATCTTCTGCTGTCACTCGAAATAGGTCAGCAAAAGGACGCTTGCTAGTATGACGCAATGCATGTGAAATCCACAGAACTTGTGAACAGCATTCACATTTTCACCTCTACCTTTTGTGTAGTTAGACAAACTCTTAGGATACCTGTATCATGCCACTTAATTTTACAGCAAAAAAAGATTTAATAGGGACACACCCCTCCATTTAATTTCTAACTGCTTCTTCCTGTACAGAGTCATGGGGAGCCAGAGCTTAACAGGGCAAGCAACAGGCACAAGGTGGGATACACCCTGGAAGGGACACCAGTCCATCACAGGGCAGACAAACAGACACAAACACAGACAAGCAGACACTTACATCAGGCCAATGTTCCTAGAAGCCAATTAACCTACCAGTATGTCTTTGGACTCTGGGGAAACTGGAGCACCTAGAGGAAACCAACAGAGGGAGAACATGCGAACTCCATACAGACAGCACCCCAGGTGCAGTTTTGAACCCAGGGCACCAGCACTGCAAGGCAGCAATGCTAACCACTGCGTCATCATGCCCATAACAGGCATACATTTGGCAGTAAATTCATAGCAAGGATATGGGGCCAATCTTGAAATTAAGGGAGTTTGTCAAGGGAGTTTTTTAATACAAAATCTGGAGTTTTTCATGATCTCCCTGTTCACGTTGGTTTACAATAGTATAGTACAATGCTTAAAATACTCAACAACGAAATTTAAAAACTTGTGCCGTTGGTGGTTCAATTTTAAAAAGAGCTGCAACCTCCCATGATCTAGGATGTTGCTAAAATCTTGGTGCTGCATGCATGTATCTGTTGTGAATAGCCCACAAGGAGATATTGTGTGCAGGTTTTGTGACACACCTGGTTTGTGTGTCTTTTTAACGCACAAAAATATGCAACAATAAATGTATCTTTGTATCACCCCTTTCCAAAACATTTGAATGCAATTGCAAAAATGCTGTCCAGTTCGTTCTGGTGCCTTCCATAGGTCTCTTTTCCCATGTGGAAATAAAATCCAAGCCCTTTGTATTATCACTGGAAAAGCACTGTGTAACGTTGTTTGCTCTCAGGTTTTTTATACCTCAGTTTAATTGCCCCACTGTAAATCATTTTTCTGTCTCCAGATGGTGTTTCTGTGGCCTTTTTTTGCAATAAGATATCAAAATCTTAAGGAGAAAAATCCCTTTCAATTGAGTTTGAAAGCTTCACCCTGTAGTATTCCTCTTAGATCCAGGTTATACTATGCTGCTCATTAGCTGTGCATGCTTACTTTGTCATGCCTCAGTCCGTTTTGGTCACTGTAGACTGAGCTGAGAAAATTGGTGTCTGTTAATGTGAGCTGTTTTTTCCCTACAGAGCATAAGTTGAATTGCTTGTTGTAGTCTCCCCCTTAGCAGTCTCTGTCAATGACTGTTATTAGTGATGATGATAGAATTAAGAACAAATCCACAGCAAAATGCACTTTAGGCGCTGCATGAACTACCTTGGTTAAGCTTTCATTTAAAATGCATTAGGCAGTTTTTACTGATGGACAACCACAAGATGTTAATGCTTTTTATAGGTCAAGACCAGCCCTGAATTGCAGTAGCAGTAAAATGGAAGAGAGGGTGCCAAGAATACTTTTTTAAAAAAAAATTCAGTTAAAAAACTTCCAGGTGATTTAGTTCAAGCTTTTGTGGTTTTTATATTTCTTTATATTTCCTGTCCAGCGCAACAGAGCTCCTGAGAAAGTCTGCCTGCTGTGTCTGTCAGCTGGGGTGGTGATTCAGAGGTCTTGCTGCCTTTGAGACACTTAATAAAATTGAAGATGATAGCTAGCGATAACAGCTTTCAGACACTTCAGTCTGAATATTAAGATGGAATATCTAAGGTCTCCTTCACAGTGCAAAATAATCAGTAAAGATGGTCGTTCTATTCTTCAGGGTAACATAAGAATAATCTGCCTATATTTTTATTTTATGTTTCTTTTCCTATCTCTAAAACTATTGCTGTGTGTAAGATTAGATAAAAATCAATTTATCCCCAGAGTCTTATCTATTGCTAAAATGTAAACGAAGTAACTGTTGATGTTTTCCACTAGGTGGCATCATTGTTGATGCTAAATCAGCAAACACCATCACAAACATAATCCAGTAGTGTTAAAACACTATTAAATTGGCGTAGCACCTTTATCATTACGAGTGAATGAAACTTTAAGGAATTCTGTGTACAGTGTATGAAACCAAAATAAATTTACAGCAATCTAGAGCCACCGTGCAGCAGATCATATAGGTCATCCTTGAATTACGTTTGACTTGTTTAAGTTGAGGAACAATATAGGGTTTTAGCAGGTTCATTTCACATGGTCTCTAAACATCTTAATTGAAGAAATGTCCTGGTTAAGAAGTCAAAGGACTTAAAATGCTCTGATTTATAGAAAACTAACCACCAGGTTATTCTTTTAAAGATGTATTTACAGCAAATTTCCAGTTACAGTTTCGGTGTATCGTGATCCTGTATGTTTACAATCCAAAGTTTAGCCCTGCCATTTTTTATTCTTCTGCTTGGAATCATAAAGTGTGAAACATTTTCATAATAAACTTTTCATTTTCATTTTTCATAATGATTACAGAGCCTTAAAAGGTCCTTTTTTATTTTAGTATTCTTATACAGTTTGCACACAAGAAAGGGCTGGGATTGAACAGGTTAAGCAAGGTCATATAGTCTGTCTCTTTTCCTTCATTAGTTTTTGGTATGCATTCGAATTAACCTTTATATGGCTCGCAAAATTAGCATATTGTTCAAAGTGCATGGCATGATAATTAATGAAGCGGACTGGTGCACAATTCGGAAATCTGCATGACAATGCAGCCAATAGAGTCTGACAGCCATCACTTGTGAAGGACACGTGTGTATGGATGTGCCCAACTGAGAACGCGCATGAATTAGTATGCAAGTACTGTAGGTCACTAAATAGCATACAGGGAAAAAAAAGATACCGTCACGTGGGAGCTGGGAAAAATAAACATGTTATTTAAAGTCAGTGCAGACTGCTGTTTAACTCTTGTAGTCCTGCACATTGAAATGATCTCGTATACTCCCAGTGCTGGGAAAACGTTAGTAGTTACTCTGCTCTACAGTAGCACAGCCATTCATTTCAAGTAAAGGGGCAGTGTATTGGGTGGGCTGCGGCTCCGATTACTGGATGGTAGTAGAGTAAGGAAAGGAGCAGGTCCAGAGGGAATGAAGAGCGCGAAATATAGCAATGATTTATCGCCTCTTCCAGATTGTATTGCATAATCTCATACGTAATAATGCCAGCATGACTTAACCACTTAGAGCACAGGGTAAAAACAATTCATGGTAAGCTTGGTAATTGACAGAAAAGTTCTTATTAGCCAATATCCCACAGATGCTAGTAAGAGTCTTACCACCTGCTTTGCCCTACCTGAACTGATTCACTACTCATGTCTTGGGTAGCACGCATGCAGCAAACTACACCACATTGCCTAAGGCTAAGCAATGAGGTGTGGTTTAAGGATAAATGATTTAACCCCACACAGTCTGTAGGGATTTAATAATCCCACTGGTAGAGTCTGTGAACTCCAAATCTGGCCTCATGGGAGGGGAAAGTCATGTCAAAAGACATTAGACAGCAGGATTGAGGTGGACACTGGTTAGAGTTTAGCTTTCAAAGAGCCAGGTGAGAATTGTGTGCCACTAACACTGATTTCGGCCACATTCAAGGCTTGCACTCTGCATTTTTTAGTTATTTTATTTGATTAAATATGTTGTTCTTTTTCATTGACCTCTTAAGTAATTATAGCTGAATCCTATATAAAACAATCATTTGACAGCCCAATAACATTAGAGTATTCAACAAGAAAAAAGTCAACATTAGTGAAGAGACGTGCAAGTAATGTCTGCAGCCTGTAAAAATTGTGCAAGAAATTAAATTTTTTTTCAGTAATTTTTCTATCAAATGAAGCATTGACACATTGTGCGAGCAGTTCTTACATTTTTATTTAAAACCAAATTCAGGACATTTATTTATTTCACAGTCCTCTTTCAGCATGTAGAGCCCAAATACTTTCAGAGACAAGTCTTGCTTCATTCTAGGAGAGAAACGGTTAAAGGCATCTGAACCATCTACAAAGTAGATTTTTTAATTAGTGTTGCTTTCACTAAGTTTATGAAAAATATTTGACTTTTTATTGAGTTTGACTTATAAATAGCACCACTTGGGGAAATGAACACTATTACATAAACTAATTTAAAAAACATAATTGCATATCTGTCTTTATGTAGTAAAGGTATAATTTATGTAAAAAATGTAGTTGTTTTTCTGTTTTCATTATTAATGATTTAAACTTTAATAGTATGTTATTTAATTGATTCTGGTGCCAGTTAAAAGTCAACGGCATACTGTAGTTTTGGTTTGGTTTGGTTTGGTCACTGAGACACCGGCCACCTTGAGAAATGTGTTCTTCTTGCCAGGTTAACATCTGTTTAGTGTTGTGTTGGCTTTAGATCTGGAATTTCATCCTGTGGGATAGAAAATGTCATTCTGTGTGTGTGTGTGAGAGATTTTGGGCCATGTTTTTATATCTGTTTATTGAACTTTATAAGCACCTCATACAAATCACATGCATTTTCATTATCGGACGGTGCATGTAATACAGCTGATGGGAGTAACACACCTAGCCATGTGACCAGGAGCTACCAGGAGTGTGAATGCTAAGGTCAGACTGTTCTGGTGATCTGGATGGGAACTCAGATGACAAGACTGGGTCCTCAAAGGCACACAGGATGTGCACTGTGTTTACTCTGCAAAGAATGGTTGTGTTAGCGTTTGTGATTACTGTCCATCTCCCCAGCTGCAGTACAGAGTAGTGTTTAGGGCCCTGGGTGATAAGAAGGTTGGATTTAACCTTGAAGGGTTTTATTCAGCCCGATAATGGTGCCCTGTTGTTGTAGCCTTGA